AAGGTATCTCTAAGTGAAAGAGCAACAGGCATAATTATTAGTTATTTTATAAGACTTTGTGAAGTCTTTGGTACAGTTTTAAAAACTAAAAGTGTATGTATAAAAATAGTTTTGCAAGTCAAGTGGTTTCTAATTCTTTGCTTTCAACAAAATTGAAGAAGAACCTTATACCTGAGTTGTCAGCTGACAGATTATTAAAAATATTATTTAATAATAGCCCATTACGTGAGTTTTGCATATGACTAAGAAGAAATTTTAAAAATTGGGTCAAGTTGCCTCAACAAGTCTTTATTTTCTCATTCATTTAGAGATTCATTCATCAAGATTCCTTAGTTCTTTCATGTTAAATTTTTAAAAATTGAAATGATATACAGCCCAGATTCATTAACAATAAGTAACATTTGTCAACATGAAATTGGGAAAATAAAGTCCCTATCCATCTCATTAAGAGATGCATTTCCAGTTAAATTTTACCATTACAAACATTTTATTTACCAAAATGTGTACTACAGATTGAGCATCCCTCATCAGAAAATCTGAAATGCTCCAAAATCTGAGAGCACCAATATGATGCCACACGTAAGTACTGTACTTAACACAACTTTGTTTCACATACAAAATTATTTTAATATTGTATAAAATTACCTTCAGACTATGTGCATAATGTAGATAAGAAACATAAGTGAACTTCATGTTTAGACTTGGGTCCCGGCCCCAAGATATCTCATTATATACATACAAATATTTTAAAATCCAAGATAATCTGAAATCCAAAACACTTTTAGTCCCAAGCATTTCAAATAAAGCATATCCAATCTGTATTGACATTATTTTGATCTCTAACAGTTGGTAATCCTATCTTAATCCATATAATTTTTTTTTCGAGACAGCATCTCACTCTGTCATCCAGGCTGGAGTGCATGCAGTGGCATGATCATGGCTCACTGCAGCCTCGACCTCCTGGGCTCAATTGATCCTCCTACGTCAGCCTCCCAAGTAGCTGACACTACAGGCAGGAGCCACCATGTCCAGCAATTTTTTTTTTTTTTTTTTGTAGAGATGAGGTTTCCCTATGTTGCCTAGGCTGGTCGTGAACTCCTGGGCTCAAGTAATCCTCCTGCTTCCGCCTCACAAAGTGCTGGGATTACAGGTGTGGGCCACTGCACCCAGCCCATATAACTTTTTAAACACTTGGAACAAGAAATTAAAAATTCACTGTAAGAACATATTTTGTTGCAAAGAAGCATAATAAGTAGCTCAATAAAAGATTTCCAAGAACAAAGAAAAAAATTATATTAGGATGCAACCAGAGTTGAGAACTAAAAAAAAAAAAAAAAAAAAAAAAAAATTCTGCAGGGAGGGGGAGAATAAAAATATGGATTCAAAGGGGGAAAAAAAAGAGCAGTGTAAAATTTCCAACCATTAAGAAAGAGGTTTTTTGTATATTTTTAAAATTAATAATGAGTGTCAAAACATTATGATATTTAGATTGAATTGAACATATGAGTGATTAACAGTTTTACTGTAAAGTGTTAATATGGAGAATATGTTGGAAATCATATTTTTTTGCAACTATCTGGACACATGTTGACAATTTTAGGTCTATCTAAGTCTATGGGAAGAGGCATATGACATTTCACAATCCTTGTAGGAGAGATGTGAAGGGAAGACCTGAGCTATTCTTCCTCCTTCTTGTGTTACCCCAATAGGAAAACGGACTTATAACTGGAGAAGAGAAGCTAGGTGTCAGCAGAGACATGATGGAGTGGACATTTCTTTCAGTCCTTTACCAGGAAGTCCTCTCAAACTGAGGAGGAAAATACTAAGGGAGAGACACAGTAGTCTTGAAGCCCATGGCATTCTTGAAGACCTACCTCACACCCCAAATTACCAAACCCCAAAGCTCTCTTCAGCTCAGTAGGCTGTCCTTTAATTTTCAGCAACTCTTCCCCACAGCAGAAGAACCAATTTTTATTTTCCCTCATAATTTGAACCCCTCCCCCTAATTTATTTGAAGATGAAGACATTACCTTCTTTTACTACCAGTGAAAATACAATGACTTGAGAAGAAAAAAATGATCTGTGTGAAGCCAGGGCAGAAGTGGAAGTTGTAGGCCCTCGAATAAACCATTAGTCTTATACTTGAAGCAGGATAAATAAATGCCAAACCCAAGGCAGAAACTAGAAACATGGAGGGAAAGAGGCATAAATGCCTCACATTAGATAATTACATTCCAAGAAATCTTTCTTGCAGCAGTTACTTTCCTACAATGACCAACTTCCTCTGACTCCAAATTTACTCCTTAGGTACACTTGGGTTAGATATTCCTTTGACTATCCAATCATACCACTGTATACTACAATTTACACATGCATACACGCTCACCTAGTTTTTTTTTTTTTTTTTTAATTGAGTCTGGGACCTGGTTTCCCTCCATTAAATCACTGATGAAAAATTTAGTAAATCTACAGAGAGAGTTTAGTAAGTGTAAGAAGACTTTGCTCACTGTGTGTGATATTCCAATAGATTCATGTGTTCTACACACAGGGATCTCTTGGATATAAGGGAAGCATTTCTCAGGTGTCTGGGTGAGTTTCTGGTCACTATCCAGGTTCCTGGCTCAGCTTCCCAGGTCTCTATGAATAAGCAGAGGGCATCCACATCCAGACCAGGCTCCTGGGGCTCAGACCATAGGGGCTGGGCATCCCTGGTAGACCTCACATTGGGCACTGAGACTCCTGAAAAACTTGTGCTGTTAATTTTGCAGTTCTCCATCTTGACTGCTTCTCAGACTGACCACCAGTTGGTGAGTTTTCATCAGCCTTCTGTCTCGTCTCCTCTGACCCAAGCAGCAGCAGGGACTCACTTGCATGCACTGGTCTTGTAGGCAGTAACTTTTAAGCCACATCCTCTGTCTCCCAGGCTAAACTTGCCTGCCTGAGAGGCATACTCCTTCCATCCTCTGTCGTACATCTGTGAGCTACCAACTCTGGCCCTAGTGTGACACTGCCAGAATGTTGTGTACCTCATCTATTTAGAGTGGGAAACCCATGAGGCAAACTGTAGAGGCCCCGCATCCTCACTTCCTTTCTGCTCAGTTTTTTCACCTATATTATCTCAACTTCGCTCTACTAACCAGAGTACCAAGGAAAGGTAGGCTAGCAATTATGTCCATGATGACTATAGAGAAGTGGAGAGGAGATGACTTATGATCCTCTTTGTGCTGGATTCTCTACTGAAGGCATCTGATGGCTTCTGATTTCCCTGGTCTGAGAAGAAAGTCCCTCTCCAGGCTGAGGGGCTCAGGCAACCTTTCATGTTGCATACGGCATAGGTATGTCTGCCTCACTCCAGAAGGGACGAGCCAATAGCCACCTACTTCTGAGGTCTAGTGCCCACAGACCTGGTGTTCATAAATTTAAGTTCTGGATTTAGGTCTCCTTTCCTGTAGCCAGGTGATCAGTGACAGGCAAAAATCAAGATCCCAGGCTTCCAGAGTAACCTCATCAAGATTGAAGTAACAGCTCACATAGCTAGTGCATAGACAGATGCAGGTTACATGGAGTCTGAATCTTGTACACATTTGGAGGCTCCCTCTGGGACTGCTGGGAAGCATGAAACATGGGATTTCACTCACAGTTGTGCTCACTATGTGTGATATTCCGGTACATGTCTTCTACACACAGGGATTTTTGATCTTTCTGAATTCTTGATTCCCATAAAAAATGAATACATAGTCATCATAGCATATGCTGCATTACTGAATATATATTTATGAGAGTCTCCAACACATCTTTACATGTCTGAGGAGTGGAAGAATTTCCCACAGATTAGCTTCTTGTTCCCCACATTTCAAACCTCATTTCTCTTCCACCTCTGGCACTGGGTGTGGTACGGCTCCTTAGTGCTCCATGCCAGAAGAAGTGGCACAGGGGTAAAGTTATTTCTGGTGGGGGGAGGAGGATTTGGAGAAAAAAAAAGAAAGAGGATTGCCGGGGAGTATACAGGGAGGGTTAGGAGAAATTCTGGAGATGTGGTTCACTCAATGGAGGCATATATAACCAAGCAGAGAAACGATATAGTACACAACAGAATCGGGAGATGTGAAACTCAGACATCAATCTTCACCTGGGCGTACAGGAAATACTCAGATTTCCAAGCAGGTTCTAGGTTCAGAGGAGAGCGCGCTTGGTTGGAAGCGCTGGTCTTGCAGGATGGGGTGGGGGTATTAATGCAAACTTCTGGTCCAGCAGAGGTAGAAACAGACCAGATGTAAGTAGCAGCTCAGAGGCAGCGGACTTGAGGGATGAAGACGTGAGGCCCAGAGGGTGGTGCCTGGCAGAGAAAACAGCTGCCGGACACCAAGACCACCTTGGGTTAAAGGGAACAAGTACCCAAAAAAACACGGTGAAAATAGGAAGAATAAGGATATCACCTGGAGTGTTCTCCTAAGACCCTCTCCAAGAACCTGGATTCTTTAACAATCCCTCCAGAGCAGGGACACTCAGAATACATACATCTCCCACAAAGTATAAAGTGTCTGAAGGCCTGGGCAGACCCTTCTCCCTCCCCTTCTCTCTCCTCCAACGGCCGGCCCGGAGGAGGGTCAGGGACGAGAACTACTCTCACTGCTGTCCCCCACCTCACCCCAAAGAGAGAGGAATCTAGAGGTCTGTATCCCTCCTTCACCACCCCGCCCCAGCGCCTTCTGGAAAACACAATCACCATCCCAAATCTCACCCAGCAACTGCATCCAAGCGCTTTCTCCAAGTGTTCGGGGAGCCGCCGGAACTCTTCCAGGCAGGCGTTCCCGGACTCTGTACAGTAGGCACCCCGCCCTTGGGGTTTTGAGCCGCAGTGTCTGCCTCTGTCCAAGTATCCAGCCTCAGGTGCAGACCTTTCAGGGCCGGCGGCGGGAGGCGCAGACAGCGAGGACCCCCTCAGGGGTACTGCAGCCCGGGCTGCCGCGCCAGAGAGTTTGCATCCTTGGGAACCGCGGACGTGCCTGGGCGCTCCAGCTCCGTGCGCCTCTGACGCTGAGGCTATGATTGGCCTGGCTGAACGCCAATCAGGGCTCGGCGCCGTGGAGGCGGGACGAACGCCGCGGGCCGAGCCTGCTTAACTCCCTGCCGGGTTATTCTCTGCCTCTTCTAGGGTAGGCAAACGCCTCCGAGTCCCTTAGGGGGGTCCCCGCGGCGGCCTGAGATGCACCGCGCCAGGTCGTCGCGCCCTTGCGCTGGCTGAAGTAGGAATTGGCTCTGGAGAGTCTGCGTTGCTCCTGGTCCCAGGGCCGTGATCCCGATACTGCGCTTCCCGTTCCTCCAGTCGCAGCCCCCAGGCTCCGTCTTCTCCTGCGTGGCGCTGGAGAAACACCCGGAAGAGAGAGTCCCAGAATGACTGCTGTGGCCCTGCGACCTGACTGCCACCTTCCAGGACTCTAGCCCTGGCTCCTTCTAACCTTCCCGCCCCTCAGTGCCCCAGGGAGGCTGCTGTGCCAACAATTATTCATCAGCCGGAAGAAAAGGAGGTGCCAGTGTTAGGCACAGAAGAGGGTTGGACCAGAAAAGCTGGAGAGGGGCAAGAAGGGAAAGAGGGGGAAGAGGGAAGGCGGAAAAAGTGGGGAGGGGTAACAGCTCGAGCTTTTCCTCTAGGATAGTTTGTCTTCTCTCGGTCCCGCCTCCTCTGCTTCTTGCCTCAGTTCCCCACTCCCACCCGTGCACCTCTGCGGCAGGCGTGTGAAAGAAGTGGGAGGGAGGGGCTTTTGGTCGGGATATCTGGTCCTCCAGACCCCACAGCCTTGGCTGAGAACTTACTTAAGCCCACTCCAACTGACTTGATAAATGAGAATCTTGACCAGTCCATTGGTAGGTAGAAACGAGGGACATCATCTGTCCCTGAACAGAATAACCCGAAATCGCAGGTCCCATGGATGTGGGAATCCACAGCACTGACTGCGCTCCTAAGGCTCGTAAGTCCACTTCCGAATCTCATCTAAGACCCTGAAAGCCAGACTAGGGATACATTTTATTATTATTATTACTATTTTTTATTTGAGACAGGGTCTCCCTCTGTCGCCCAGGCTGGAGTGCAGTCGTGCGATCTCGGCTCACTGCAACCTCCGCCTCCCGGGTTCAAGCGGTTTTCGTGCCTCGGCCTCCCGAGAAGCTGGATCTACAGGTGCGCACCACCACACCTGGATAATTTCTGTATTTTAAGTAGAGACGGGGTTTCACCATGTTTGCATAGCTTGTCTCGAACTGTTGACCTCAAGTTATCCTCCCGCCTCTGCCTCCTAAAGTGCTGGGATTACAGGCCTGAGTCTCCTCGCCCGTCTTATATGTTGGATCTTTTCCCAGACCTCCTCCTCAGATGTGGACCGTACAGATGATGCTCCATCGGTTACTCTGATCCTGGCTTTGGGACTGCCAGATAAAACTGGGAGAAACCCTACATTTACTCTTACTGTAACGTATTGGCTTGAAACTGCAGGTCAGAATCCATTTATGTTGAGATCAAAAGACTTTTTTTTTCCAAGTAGAATGAAATAGAATAAAATAGAATTGAAAATACTTGCCTGCATCACAGGTGATGAGAGTAACTATAGTTTCATGAAACTTTTGTTTCAGTTAAATATGTTTTTGCATGTGTTCATGTGTACCGGGAGGAGATATATATTCCATGTATATATGTAGAGAGGTGGAAATCAACAACAAAACTCCATAATTGTTCTTATTTTCTAATAGTTCTTGATTTTGAGTAAAAATAATTAAGAACAAAATGTTGAGCCAGCTAAAGAAAGATCAGAGTCAAGCAGGCTCTCATTGGGGCCTAAATAGAGGTTCATCTTATTTGGCTTTTTTTTTTTCTCCCCATCTCGTGGGCTCCTTTTAAGGCCCAGCAAGGAATTACCTTCCCCCCACTCTCTCTGCTTGGTTCAGCCATTCAGCCGTCTCTCAGGCTCTTTGATTAATAAAATGTCCAGTAGAGCTATTTTATCCTATGCATGTGTGGGAAGAGAGCAATGCCAGTGATTCTTTTCTGATTTGATAGAAAATTCACAAATCACGTTACCTTTTGAAGCGTGAGATTTTAAATTCAAACATTATCACCAGAGAACTAAATTATTAAGAAAGATGAGTGGTCAAAAGTATAGATGTTTTACAGATTAAGGGTCATTTTGTCAGGTCCTGTCCAAAATATCTGAAGTCTAGGGGTTGGAAAAATTGTTAGAAATAACCATTTATGACAACAGTTTTCATTTATTGTTCTCCCCCAGCTTCAGGAGAAGGCGAGAACATTTTTTTCCTTCTTGCTGAGAATTTTTTCACCAGGGTTTCAAGGGTAAGAACTGAAATTCCAGCATTGACATTGAATTAAAAAGAAGCAAGCCCTTTTAGGAAGTCAAATTTTATTATATGAGATGGAATATAATATTGAGATTACTTATGACTTAGGCATGGTATAGGGGGGCTTTTAACAACAGATAAAAAAAAGTTGAAAGGATAGGAGTGAAATAAAGCAAACTTTCATTATTCAGAGATGACACAATTGTCTACAGAGAAAAATAATCTAAAACATAAGAATTAAGAGTTTGGCACAGTTGGCTAAATATATAAAATATTGCATTTTCTATAAAAACAAGTGGAAATGTGATTAACTGGTTAATAAAATATAACAAATTTACAGTACAGTTGACCTTTGAACAACATGGGCTTGAACTGTGCAGGTCCACTTATATATGATTTTCTTCTGCCTCTGCCACCCTTGAGACAGCAAGACCAACTCCCCTCCTCCCCTTCCTCCTCCTCAGCATATTCACCATGAAGACACGAGGATGAAGACCTTTATGATGCTCCACTTCCACTTAATGAATAGTAAGTATATTTTCTCTTCTTTATGATTTTTTAAATAACATTTTCTTTACTTTTCTGAGACAAGGTCTTGCTCTGTTGCCCAGGCTGGAGTGCAGTGGTGTGATCATGGCTCACTGTAACTTCAACCTCCTGGGCTCAAGCGATTCTCCACCTCAGCCTCCCAAGTAGCTGGGACTACAGTAGGTGCATGCCACTGTACCTGGTTAAATTTTTAATTTTTTTGAGAGATGGGGTCTCGCTATGTTGCTGAGGCTGGTCTCAAACTCCTTGTCTCAAGCAGTTCTCCCGCCTCAGCCTCCCAAAGTGCTGGAATTACAACCATGGGCCACCGCACCTGGCCAACATTTTCTTTTCTCTGGCTTACTTTATTGTAAGAGTACAGTATATAACACATATAGATATAAAATATATGTTAAATAACTTTATGTTATTGGTAAGACTTCTGATCAACAGTAGGCTATTGGTAAAGTTTTGGAGGAGTCAAAAATTATGTGCAGATTTTTGACTGCACAGGTGGTCAGCACTGCTAGCCCTCGCATTGTTGAAGGGTCCACTGTAATCAGGAATAAATTCTCAAAAAGGAAAGGCATGCAAGATCTTAGTGGGGAAAATTAAAATCATTAAAAGAAGTTGAAGAAGTACTGCACAGATGGAGAGATATATTCATGGTTAGAAAGCATCAATATCATAAAAATGCCAGTTTTCCCCAATGTGATCTATAGTTTCATGCTGTTTCCAGAAAAATTTCAACAAAATGTTTTATAGAATTGGGCACAATGATATTAAAATGAAACGAAGGAACACAAGTTCAAGAAGAGCCAAAATACCATTGAAAATAAAGAGGAAGTTGGGGAATTTTCTGACTACATGAGAAGATATATACACCACTGGATTTAAGACCATGTGCTGTTATTGGTGAGAGGGGAAGTAGACGACTGGGCCAATAGAATAGAATGGAAAGAGCGTCAGGACCCCTTGTATATGAAGAATGGTCATTAAAGACCAGTGGGTAAAGGACGTATAATTCAGTAAGTTTGAATTTATGACACTGGATTAATGGATATATATACATCATAATAAATTCCAGATGAACTAAGGACCAACATATTGAAGGCAAAACTGTAAAACTTTTAAATGCAAATGCGAAAGAAATATTTGTGTGACTTCAAAGTAGAAAAATATTTATTAAAAAGATACACATTTTAAAAACAAAAATGTATAAGAAAAAATGAATAAATTTGACCACATTAAAATTAGGAACTTTTATCAAAATATACTCTAAAGAAAAAAAAGCCACAAACTAAACTTATATCACACATAATTTACATAGGACCAATATCCAGAACATCTAAGAATAGCCCCAGAAGAAAATGATCAAAAGATGTGAAAGGGCAGTTCACAAAAAGGGATATATAAATGACCAATAAATATACAAAAGTTAAGCTCACTCACAATAGTTATCAGAATTGTGAATTAGAACAGTCCTTGAAATAACATTTTAAAATCACTAAATAGACAAACACTGAAAAGTCTAATATTATCAAAAATCGATGAGGATATAGGGTGAGGGGAACTCATACTCTGATGGTGGACTTCCAACTGAAATAATCTGCTTGGAAAAAAAATTGGCATTTTGTAAAGTTGAAGCTGAGTATATCCTAAAGCACAGCAGCTCTACCCTTAAGTATATATGCACCTTAGGGAAATTATTGAATAAGGCACCAAGAGCAATGTGCAGGAAAAGTCACGAGAGCATTCTTTGTAATTGCAAAAAGCTGGAAACAACCCAGTGTCCATTTGCAGGTAAACTGATACACAGATTTTGATATAATAATAATGTGGAATTCTATGCAACATCAAGATCAGTGGAATACAGATACAGTAATAAACTTGCATAATTCTTAAAATCATGTTGAATGAAGAAAACAAGTAACAGAAAAATACATTGTGATATTAATTATGATGTTAATTTGTTGTCAGAAACAAAGACAATATTTACTATGATGAAAGCAAGATAATGATCAACTCCAAATTTGGAATAATAGTTGCATTTTGCAGAGAGGAAGGGAGATTCTAAGGGAAGACAAACACAGGAAACTTTAATGTTAAGGGTAGTGTTCCATTCCTTCATGTGATTGGTGGGAAAAAAATGGATGTTTAAAATTCTCATAGATATGCATCATATGCATTACTTATTTGTAGAAAAATATTTCAAAAGCTGGATCATAAGAAATAAGGAAAAAGGTATAAAAAAATCATTTGCACAGGGACAGAAGTAACAAAGGCAATTTGATGAAATTTATTGAGACAGAAGACTGAAAAATGAAAAAGCATGCTGAATACAAAAATATAAAAATATGATGGCAGAAGTAATCCAGATATGTATGCATTTGTAATGCCCATTTATATCACTGCATTAAATCTAAATTTTTCTTCTCAGTGAAGATGGTGTGTGTGTATGTGTGTGTGTGTGTGTATTTGCTGTTCAAAAAGTGCTGGTGGCAATGGCTTATACCTGTAGTCCCAGCACTTTGGAAGGCCAAGGAGGGAGGATCACTTAAGCCCACGAGTTTGAGATCAGCCTGGGTAACATAGTGAGACCCTATCTCTACAAAAATAAAAAAATTAGTCGGGCGTGGTTGTGCATGCCTGTAGTCCTACCTACTCAGGAAACAGGTGCAAGGATTGCTTGAGCCTGGAAGATTGAGGTTGCAGTAAGCCATAGTCGCACCACTGCACTCCAGCCTGAGCGGCAGAGTGAGACCCTGTCTCAAAACAAAAACAAAACCAAAAAGCACCTAAAATAAAATGACACCGAGTGATTAAAATAAACCAATGGACAATGATAAACTCAGGCAACTGCTAACAAAAATTAATTATGGATAGAAATACCGTCTTACTCCATTTTGTGCTGCTATAACAGAATATCCAACTGGATAATTTACAAAGAACAGATTGATTTATTACAGTCCTAGAGGCTAGCAAGTCCAAGGATGAGAGGGCTGCATCTTGCAAAAATCTTCTGGCTGCCTCATACTATAGTGGGAGGCAAAAGGGATAAAAAGAGAGAGTGGAGAGAGAGAGAGAGAGCGTGCCGAAGTGCAACAGGTTGAATTCACGGGCTTTTAGCCTTTTTGTATTGGCACTAATTCATTTGTGAGGATGGAGTCGTTGTGACCTAAACACCTGTCATCATTAAGCCTCAGCTACCAACACTGTTGCATTGAATATTACATTTCCAACATATGCTTTTTTGGGGACACATTCCAACCATCCAATATTCTACTAATATTGAACAAAGTAGAATAAATTATGAAGAAATTTTTCAGTGTCAAAGAAGGATACTTTATTATGCTAAAATGTACAATTCACCAACTGCCCATAAGTTATAAGCCTTTGTATCCTAAACAAGTCTTTGAAATTTAGGGAAAAAAATGTGGTTTGTTAGGAAGGATAAATTGACACATTTAAGAGCTTTTAGCATACTTTTAAACTAAACTGTTGTATCAAATTTTAAAATAATATGAATGTAAGATATTTTACTAAAGCAAATAATGATCTTAAGTTGTCAAATATTTATAAAATTATGTACTCAACAAATAGTGAATACATATTTTTCTAAACATAACGCATTAAACCACAAAGTAAAATTAAATAGAAATTAGAAACTACACGGGCTATATTCTTTCACCAGTAGAAAATACATACATAGAAAAACAAAACAAAACGAAAATAAAACAAAACCTTACCAAAACAATACTAACAAGAAAGCCTCCTCTTGGAAACTTAAAAACATCTCACTAATTTTTGGGTTGAAAAGGAAGTCAAAATTGCAGTTCAAGGGAGTTATGTTTTTGCTAGGAATATGGAGGGAATTCAGAATTCATTTCTCTGTATAGTACAGCAAAGAGAATGAAAAAGAAAACCACACAAGAACTTCATTTTTAGTGAAACTAGGAAACAGAAAGTATGGTTACATCCCAAATTGCATGCCATTTGTGCTTAAAGCAACGGAGAGCAGCAGAACTGGGCACAGGAAGCCAAAATGTTGCTGTGGCAACAGATCAAAGTGTGGAGGAAACTAGTTATGCGGGATCTCGGAAAGGGCCCGAAAATATTCTCTCTGTAAGAGTAGAAGCCAGCCTAGGTTGGAGCTGTTGGCACTTGGCCTGAGCTACAGTGAGACCCAGATGCTGGGGGAGGCAGAAGAAGGCCCACATGTTGGGGGAGCAGACATTGTTTTGGAAGTTCCAAGGTGGCAGATAACAAGGGATCCCTCTGGAATGCAGGGAGCTGTAACACTGTGGTAGGATCCTTGCTGAAATAGATTAGATTCTCAAAGTTGGAAGAAACATGGATGCAGCATATTTTAAGGTAAAGTTCACTATGGTAGTAATAAAGGATTGATCCTTCGGTTGTAAAACCTGGGAGGTTACTATCGCCCATGTCTTCTCTCACCACCTCATCATCCCACCCCCATCCAACAGGAACCTTCCACTAATATCTGATCCAGGAATGCTCAATTCATTCAGAATAAGTAGGAAAAGAAATGGCACAGTTCCACATAAATATGTCATAAGAAAATAATGTTTACAGAAAGCAGCAAGATTTCCCTCCAGAAGTAATGAAGCAGCCTCAGCCATGAAGATCATGGAGCCAAAAGGAAGACCTTCAGCAGAAGCAGTTGCGAGCCAAAGAGGTCCAAGGGCACTGAGGAAGGAGCCAAGTGGTAAGGGCCACCACTGGCTGGGATCCAGGGTGCCCAAGTGGGAGAATGAGCAAGCCAGAGAGTGCTTGGTCTAGGGATTAAGGAAAGCACACAGGAATAGGTTGGACACCAAATTTGAAAATGAACAGTGAGAAAAATGCTGAGGTGACGAGGATCGAAATGAAGTAACAGAACAATTAAAATTACGTGATCCAGGGACAGAGACTTGAATTCATAAACAGGCCTGTGTTGCCCATTAGTCACAAGGGGAGCGGTGAGCCATTGTTAAAATGCCAAGGATTCCCAATGCAGTTTACTTGGAACTTTGCCCAGCAATGAAGGAGTCTGACTTGTCTTTTCTGTAATAGTTAGAATCAAAGAAAAATAAAGCACAGCTGGTGGGAGGGTGAGAAGCAAGCATCATGAACCAGGGTCTAATTCAAGGATCAAACTGCTGCAGGGGAATAAAACTGAGAGGCCATATTGGCACCTAGGCACAGTGAGGTGAGTCTGGCCACCCATTTTAAGAAACCCCTGCAAAATGATACAAGTGTTTACTAGAAACCACCTCTGGCCTCTGGAAAAAAAAGAAACAGCATCTCCCGGGTGAGAATATCTGGGTCTCACACCTATTGACCAGGTCAGAGATAGGGTTCAGTTGGGGATGGGATATAATAAAAGGCATGGGTAAAGAAACTGGGCAGAGGCATAGTGCCTGCATGTTGGAGGTTAAGGAGGGAATTCAGTTCAGAATTCATTTTTCTATATATATTACAGCAAAGGTTAAGTTTGGAGGTTAAGTAAGGATGCTGCAGCTCGCTCGTGGCTGCTTTTCCTTCAGAGTACTCATCCCTCAGCTTACCCAGGGGGACTCAAAGAGAGGAATGTGTGTGTGTATGTCTATCTATCTATCCATCCACCTTCTAATCTACCTAAATCAATCACTGTGTGTATCTATTCCAACCACAATGGACCCCTATCATTCAATTTCATTTAGTGGTACATCTCAGGCCAGTTTACAGAAAAACTGTAAAGGGCTGTAAAAGGCTGTATGAGAACATAATCTGAAAAGCATTGCTCAAAAGAGCATATTATGTATTATTTGGCATTTATGAAGAAATTAGATTTCACACTGAACTAGTTAATAAAGATTTATAACTACAAATGGGCTGCAGCATGTGATTCTGAACTTGACTATTTCCTTTTGCCCTTCAGTTTCAGACTGTGATACGGATTGTGATTCTCTACCACCCTCTAGTGGAAATTCATTCATTTCCTTTTAAGTCCTGTTTCTTCTTTAAAATTACATACAAAATTACATAGAGAATGTCTGGATTCACTCTTGTTATAAAAGGTTCAAACCGGCCGGGCGCGGTGGCTCACACCTGTAATCCCAGCACTTTGGGAGGCCAAGGCGGGCGGATCACAAGGTCAGGAGACGGAGACCATCCTGGCTAACACAGTGAAACCCTGTCTCTACTAAAAATAAAAAAAAATTAGCCAGGCGTGGTGGTGGGCGCCTGTAGTCCCAGCTACTCGGGAGGCTGAGGCAGGAGAATGGCGTGAACCCGGGAGGCGGAGCTTGCAGTGAGCCGAGATCGCGCCACTGCACTCCAACCTGGGCTACAGAGAGAGACTCCGTCTCAAAAAAAAAAAAAAAAAAAAAAGGTTCAAACCATACAGAAGGGTATGGAGTAAAAAGGTCTACTTTGTTTCTCCCTCCTCCCCATTCCATTCTAGGTCCCAAAGGTAACTGTGTGTAGTTTGTGTTATGCTAGGATATTTCCTGTGCTTTTACACATTCCAAGTGTATGGCAGGAAAAATCCTGAGACATTAACTGAAGATTTCTACAACTGCGTCTTTCTACAATAAAGGCAGATAACACATTTCCCCTCATGCAGTGGGAGACAGATCATAGGAAAACAGCAATGACCAAAACATTAAGATTTTTCATTTAAAAATTTACATTTGAAAACCATGGTAAGCCAGGTGTGATGGTCACATGCCTTTAACCATTTAGGAGGCTAAGGCAGGAAGACTCCTTGAGCCCAGGAGTTCAACACCAGCCTGGACAACATGATGAGACTCAGTCTCTAAAAAAAAAAAAAGAAAAAGAAAAAAAAATTAGCTGGGCATGGTGGCGCTCACTTGTGGTTTCAGCTACTCAGGAGGCTGGGGCAGGAGGATGGCTTGGGCACAGGAGGTTGGGGATACAGCGAGTCGTGTTCGGGTCACTGTACTCCAGCCTGGGTGACGGAGTGAGACCCCGTCTCAAAAAAATAAATAAATAAATAGAAAACCCAGTAGAGGCAAAATGAAAGAAAGGTCTTTGGAGATGAGAAATCTTAGATTACTAGATGTCTGGAGTCAGCACTTGTTCCATAAATAATAGATTTGAAAAGAACTCTGGATAATCTTACAATTTTCTTGCTGTGGAAGTGATAAGAATCCACAGGCTGAAGAGAGGAATGAGTGTCAGGAACTGGTTTGGGGGTCTTGCACTCTGTAATCTAGTTAAACTGTGTGACAGAGGGGCAGTGCCTCCTCCAACTCAGATATTTTGGGCATACAAGGGTGGGATCAAAGAGTGTGTTGTTTCTGGTCTACGGAATATTACAAATTTGAACAAAATACAAATATTTCTGACAGTTTCTAAACTCTCTTTGCTAAGTACTCAATAGAATGGACTATCATCCAGGCTGGGTAAGGAGAGATCTTGACAAGGAAAGGAAGGAATCAGGGTTTCATGAGAGACAGGGTTCTGGGGATCCAAGCATCACGATGAGATCATGGCTAAGTTTTCTCTTGGGTAATGCAAAGAAAAGTTGACGTTTACTGCTGTGAAGCAAATTAGAAGCTAGCCTGGGGTGCCTTAGTTTGGTTTCTTCCAGAAGCAGTCCCTGACACAAGGACATGAGTGAAAGTAATTTATTTTGGAGGTGCGTGAAACTTCAGTATCAGCTGAGTGAAAGATAGATTGGGAAGGGAAAACAGCCAACGAAGGATGAATGACTGGAACTTAATCCACTGGGGAAATTCTGGGAAAGCACATGCTTCAGAGTTAACCCAGCCACGTAAGAAGGGAGTTGGGCAATTGTACATCAATTCCCATTGGCTGAAAGCTGCTCCCTGACATGTGAACTCTTCAGCCCTTCTAGTCTGCTGTGAGTCGGGCAGAGTGGCCCTTCTTGGCTTTGAGGAAGCCTTCAGGAATGATGCAAATGTCCAGCCAGTGTGCACTACAGTGGTAAGGCCCAAGGAACATGGCAGGTATTAGTAGCATCAGCCACACCAGGTCTGTTTCTAGTTGGAGAACCCTTAGATGGGCTGGAGCCTGTGATCTCTTACATCTATAATATCTGTGATCAGAATGGAAGAATTTTCTATTTTCTTTTTTTTCCAATTTTGCCCAAGTCTTCATAAAGTCTTGTTAAAACTTTGACAACAGTCTTATTTTTACGTTCCTTTAATCAAGAATGACAGGCCTATGTCCAAATATAGGAAGATGTATTAGTTTGCTAGGGCTACCATAAGAAATACCACAGACTGAATGGCTTAAACAACATAAACTTATTGCCTCATGGCTCTGGGGGCTAGAAATGGGAGATCAAGGTGTCAGCAGGGTTGGTTTCTTCTGAGGTCTCTATGCTTGGCTGGTGGATGGCTGTCTTTTCCCTGCATCTTCATATGCACTGTCCCCTGTGTATGTATGTCCTCATCTCTTCTTTATATGGATACTAGCTATATTAGGTCCTACTTTCATAACCTCATTTTAACTTAATTATCTTTTTAAAGACTCTAACTCCAAAAAAAATTCACATTCTGAGGTACTGGGTTTATTCAACATTATGAATTTATAGGGGAACACAGTTCAGCCCAAAAAGAGGAAAATGGGGCAAAGGGAAAATTCTCCTTCTCCATCTTCTTTCCTATTCTCTCTCAAAGGCCAAGGGGAGTGAGAGCAACATTGGATCATGGGATCTTGGTTGCCCTGCAACTCAAGAGCTACCTGGCTTCAACATTAGCAGTGAGCAACAGCAGAGCTGAGAACAATGGTATAGAACTGAGTCACACTGAGTCAGGCCACATTTCCCAGGCTAATTTGCAAACCAGAATTCCAGATACAATTTTTATTCACTCAAACTTTCCATTCATGAACTTGTTAAATATGTTTTGAAAAACTATGCACATCCTCATACATGTTTTTTAAATTTAACTGTTTTATTTTGAGATAATTAGAGAGTGACATGCAGTTGTAAGAAACAATACAGACAGAACCTTTTACCCTTTAATCCAGTTTCCCCGATGGTAACATCTTATAACACTTCAGTACAGTATTGCAATCAGGATACTGACATTTGTATCAGTGTCGATTATTACAGTCAAGATAGCATTTTTGTCACTCCAAATATCCTTATCTTGCCCTTTTATGGTCAGTTCACCTCATTCCCACCCCCATCACTTCCTTAACCACTGGCAACCATGATTTTTTCCTCCATTTCTGTACTTTTGTGATTTCAAGCTTGTTAATACAAAATGTTATACAAAGGGATTGTGCTTTTTTTTGCTTTTCAATAAAGTTTATTTTATTTGTTTATTTATTTTTTGAGACAGAGTCTCACTCTGCCACCCAGGCTGGAGTCCACTGGCACGATCTCAGCTCACTGCAACCTCCGCCTCCTAGGTTCGAGTGATTTTCATGCCTCAGCCTTCCAAGTAGCTGGGATTACAAGCATGTGCCATCTTGCTCAGCTAATTTTTGTATTTTTAGTAGAGACGGGCTTCACCATGCTGGCCAGGCTGGTCTCGAACTCCTGACCTCAAGTGATCCGCCTGCCTCGGCCTCCCAAAGTGCTGGTATTACAGGCGTGAACCACCATGCCCAGCCTGGATTGTGCTTTTGATGTCAAGCCTATGAATTCTTTGCCTGGCCCTACATCTCAAAGATTTTTTCCTATTTTTCTAAAATTTTAATAGTTTTACACTTTACATTTACTCTGTAATCCATCTTTTTTGTTTGTTTATCTGTTTTTAGAGATGGGGTCTTGCTATATTGCTCAGGCTGGAGTGAAGTGACATGATCACAGTTGTAGTATGTAACCTTTTGGGATTGGCATTTTTCACTCAGTATAACTCTCTGGAGATTCATGCAGGTTGTTGTGTGTATCAGTCATTCTTTTTTATTGCTGAGTATTATTTCATGGCATAAGTGTACAATAGTTGGTTTAACCATTTACCTGTTAAAGGATATCTGGGTTATCTTTGGCTACAATGAGTAAGCAGTTAGACAAACATTTGCATATAAGGTTTTGTGTGAAGGCATCGTGTGTGTGTGTATTTGTGTGTGCAAGTTTTCATTTCTTGGGGCTAAATACCCAGGAATGCAGTTGCTGGGCAGGATGGTGGTAGTATGCTTAGTTCTTGGATTTGTTGTTGTTGTCGTTGGTTTTGTTTTGTTTTTAAGAAACTACCAAATCATCTTCCAGAGTGGTTGTACCATTTTATATTCCCACCAGAAATTATGAGTGATCCACTATCTCCTCTTCCTTGCCAGCATTTAGCATTGTCCCTTTTTTTTTTTTTTTTTTTTTTTTGAGATGGAGTTTCACTCTTGTTGCCTAGGCTAGAGTACAATGGCACGATCTCTGCTCACTGCAACCTCCACCTCCCGGGTTCAAGTGATTCTCCTGCCTCAGCCTCCCGAGTAGCTGAGACTACAGGCATGTGCCACCATGCCCAGCTACTTTTGTATTTTTAGTAGAGACAGGGTTTCTTCATGTTGGCCAGGCTGGTCTCAAACTCCTGAACTCAGGTGATCCACTCACCTTGGCCTCCCAAAGTGCTGGGATTACAGGTGTGTGCCACCGTGCCTGACCCATTGTCACTACTTTTATTTTAGTCATCCTGATAGATGTGGAGTGATATTTCATTGTGGTTTTAATTTGCATTTCCCTAATGGCTAATGATGTTGAACAACTTTTCATGTGCTAATTTGCCATTTTTATATCCTCCTTGGTGAAATATCACCTTAAGTCTTTTGCCTGTTTCCTAATTGGATTTTTAATGTGTTTTTTGTTGTTGTTGTTGAGTTTTGAGAGTTCTTTATATATTCTAGATACTAGTCCTTTGTTCAATGTATGGTTTGCAAATATTTTCTCCTATTGTGTAGCTCATTTTTTCATTCACTTACCAGATCTTCACAAAGCAACAGTTTTACATTTTGATGAAATCCAGTTTATCAGTTTTTCCTTTCATAGATCATGCTTTCGATGTCAAGCCTAAGAATTATTTGCCTACACCTACATCTCAAATATTTTCTCCTATTTTTCTAAACTTTTAGTAGTTTTATGCTTTACATTTACTCCATAATCTTTTATTTATTTTAATTACTTAATTGTATCTGGTAAAGGTTAAGGTATTGCATTTCTCTGACAATTTTTTTTTTTTTTTTTTTTTGAGACAGAGTCTTGCTTACTCACTCAGGGTAGAGTACAATGGTGCTGTCACAGCTTATGACAGCCTTGAACTCCCGGGCTCAAGCAATCCTCCTGCCTCAGCATCCCAAGTAGCTGGGACTACAGGCAGGAGCCACCACACCAACATAATTTTTCATTTTTGTGTATAGACAGGGTCTTGCTGTCTTACCCAGGTTGGTCTTGAACTCCTGGACTCAAGCAATCCAATCCAGTTTGAATTAACTTTTGCATAAGGCCTGAGACTTAGGTCAAGTTTCATTTTTATTTTATTGCCTTGCCTATGGATGCCCAATTGTTCCATTTCACCATTGTTCAATTCACCATTTGTTAAAAAGGCTATTTTTCTTCCATTGACTTCTTTTTGCACTTCTTTCAAAAATCATTTGGGCAGACTGTGTGGGTCTTTTTCTGCGTTCTCTATTTTGTTCCGCTGATTTGTGTGTCCATTCCTCTGCTAGTACCACACAGTCTTGATTACTGTAGGTATATAACAACACTTGAAATAGGGCAGACTGATTTTCAATCACTTTATTCTTCTTTTTCAAGAATGTTTTAGGCGTCGGCGTCGCTCCCGCCCTGGAGCTCTAGGCCCGCGTTTCCCCGCGGGCTGTGGGTCAAGCGCCGGCCGCTAAAGGTGCGCGAGGAGCCTCCACCCTTTCTGCGCTGGGCCTGGCGTCGGGGTCGTTGTGTCCTGACAACCACTGACGTACCCATTTCCGAGGCAGCAGGTGCAGCCGCTTTAGCCCTGAGCCGGCTCCGCGTCTGTCTGCTGGTCTCTGCTAATGCCGACCCTTCCCTTCGCGGACCCCACGCCAAGCAGCGACCCGGAGCCGACAGCTGGAGCGCCTGGCAGTGGCGGCCTCGACGACCTCGCAACGGCCCGTCAAGGGGATCCTGAAGGACAAGACCTCTACGACCCCCTCTATGGTGGCGTCGGCCGAACCGCCCCGCGGGAGTGTCCACGAGGAGCTGAGCAAAAAATCCCAGAAGTGGGATGAAATGAACATCCTGGCGACATATCATCCAGCAGACGAAGACGATGGCTTAATGAAAGTAGATGAACCAAGCCCTCCTTACCATAGTATGATGGATGATGATGAAGGTGCATGTAGTGATACAGAAACCACCGAAGCCATGGCACCAGATATCTTGGCTAAGAAATTGGCTGCTGCTGAAGACTTGGAGCCAAAGTATCGGGTTCAGGAACAACAAAGCAGTGGAGAGGAGGATAGTGACCTCTCATCTGAAGAACGAGAAAAAAAGCGACAATTTAAATGAAAAGGAAGCGCCACTACAATGAAGGACTCAATATCGAACTAGCTGGACAATTTCAAAAGGCCTACATGATGATGACGGAGATGAAGAAATGTTAGAGCCTGCAGGTGGAGAAAGCATGAATACGGAAGAATCAAATCAAGGATCTGCTGTAAGTGACCAACAGCAAAACAAATCACGAAGTTCATAGAAGAGATTTGTTCAACACTGCAATTGTTTGTTAGATATGAACCCAGTTGCTATAATACATTGCTTCTTGTTCTCTGCAAATCATGACTTAAGTACCAAAATGCATACCAGTTATTATATATTGCCAGTAATTAAATGATAACCTTAGAGACTGATTAGACCGAAATGAAAATGCCTGACATGTGTGTATATATGTGTGTGTGTGTGTATATATATATATATACTTGTGCCTAATACTTTACTACAAATACAGTGTAATACCATCAGTCCGAAACTGTATTGCTTTTGTAAAAACATTGGTTAACTTGTATATTATATAGCTTTTTATGCTTTAGAGGTTCAACAATATCTTTGGGGGGGAACTAATTTATTTTCATCATTCTAAATGTGGTGGTAGCTCTTATAAAGTTTGTTGATTTTTTTAAAATCAAAAGCCAATTGAATAACAGGATATATAAGTTGATAAATCTTCAGGCTGAATAGTATTTGAACACTTGTCTTCAACTTGATTTGTCTGTTTAATTGAAAGGATTGTAAGAGTTACTGTTGCATTTTCTGGCCTACTACCTTTAAAATTCTTGTTGCGTTTCTTTGTGTTTGCAAGGAAAGGACTGGACTTTTTCTCGTCAAAACTAGCTTTTTTTCTCACAAATTATTAGGCTAAACTTGCACTGATGTCTGCTCTTTTTTTTTTTGTAATGTTTTTGGTACGCTGGGCAGACTTCAGTTTTTTAAAAAATAAATATTGTAATGTAGCTATCTCGGCATTCCCTTTAAATACCTGTCTTAACCTCCTGCTTTTATTTCCTACTCCTTTCCACACATATACACACAATCCTTTACCTTTTAAAGGATCATTAAGATTGTCACACATTAGGAAGTCTTTCTCTCATGTCTTTTGCGGCAATATTGAAATTCTTATTTTGACCATCAATGTCTATTAATTCTTCTAATACATGAAGAAAATAGGTTGAGTAGCAGCAGTACCCTATAGGCAGGAAATACAGTTTAACTGCTGGATTTCTATACCTCTCTGATTTACAGCTTGCTAATTAAATTGCTATTATTAGTTTGCTTGGCTTAATTAGACTTAAGAAAACAACTAACTGACGGTTTTTGTTTTTTCAATTTTTTTTTTTTTTTTTTTTTTGCATGAGGAGAGAATTGTATGTAACCAGTGATATGATTATTCCTGAAGGTACAGACAGAAGTAAACCTGGGAACACTGTTTAATTTAAAAACTTCAATCCCTGCTATGAGGGAATACGATAATGTATACTATGACAAATGTACTTTATTCTTCTAACACAGTAAAGAATTACTTGGGAATTTTTTCCTGAAACTAAGTGCAGGAAAGCCCTGTGTGTCTTGGTTTCGTGGTGGTTTCATTTCTAGCCATACAACTGATGGATTGTATACAATTTCTGTCAGTGCCAAAATAATCTGTTATATGAACACACTTCTAAAATAATTTCTGTATATTATATATGTAAGAAGTCTTTTATTGAACAGCTTATCTTCCACTTGCAAGTTTATGGAAATATCAATATGTCAAAATAAATAAAAAGTGGGAGAATTCTTTGCTGTTAGAAGAATGTGCTTATTATTTTGATTTCTTAAATGGTATATAATCAAAGTACTGCCGATCTATAGGTGCAGTATTCTACTAAACATTTCAGCTAGTAATACCATTGATTTAGAAACAAAGCTGTTTATTTTTGCTTTCTGAATTTAGAATGCTGGGATTACCTGTTTAAGCCTGTTTTGGGGAATATAGAGATTAAGTCTGTACATACGTGTGCACATATATTCATGCACCCTCTGATTTTGGTTTTCTTGTTTTTGAGTTGTTAGAAAGTATCCACTTACTCTTCTTTTTGTAGAAGTAGCTGTTTTAGAGAGAAGAAAAGGATAAGACTTTACAGTTTATTATTTTTGTGTTTTCTACAAACTTTTTTCAATTTCAAATCACAAGCAAACTAATTTTCTGATTTTTAGAAAGTAGATGATGATTTCAGAGGAGTAAGACATGCTAAACAGCATGCTCAGTAGAATTTTAGGTAGTCAAATGCAACTGAGAAAAAGTATTTTCAAGTCATAAGTTGCTAATTGATATGCTATGAACTAGTCAAAATATGAACCATGTGATTCAAGTTAGATTTTCCTCTAGAGATGGATCTGCAGGGATGACTACAATTTGGCATAATGGTGTAAATGAATTGTTAAGGGTAACTTTAAGTTGGAGATTAAAGCAAGATGCCATTTCCTCCATGTCTTTCATTTTGTTTATATTTTTTCCCTTTAAGTTAGTATATACTACACATACTGCAATAAAATATAATAATATGAAAAAAGAATATTTTAGATATTCTAGTTCCTTTGCCTTTCCATGTAAATTTTAGAATAATCCTACCTATAATCAACAAATCTTGCAAAAATTTTGATCGGAATTGTGTTAAACTTGTATATCAGTTTGGGGAGAATTGACATATTTAGTATGTTGAGTCTTCCAATCCATGAACAATATTGCTGTCTATGTAGATAAAGACTAAGTAGATCTTCTTTGATATCATTCACCAGCATTACATAGTTTTTAGCTTGCAAGTCTTGCATATTTTGTTAGATTTACACATAAGTGTTTCATGTGTTTGAGTAATTGAAAATAATATATTTATATTTTTGGGCCAGGCACGGTGGCTAATGCCTGTAATCCCAGCACTTTTGGAGGCCGAAGCGGGCTGATCATGAGGTCAGGAGATCGAGACCTTCCTGGCTAACACAGTGAAACCCCGTCTCTACTAAAAATACAAAAAATTAGCTGAGCGTGGTGGTGGGCGCCTGTAGTCCCAGCTACTGGGAAGGCTGAGGCAGGAGAATGGCATGAACCCAGGAGGTGGAGCTTGCAGTGAGCCGAGATCATGCCACTGCACTCCAGCCTGGGTGACAGAGCGAGACTCCATCTCAAAATAATAATAATAATAAAAATAACAATATTTTTGGTATTACCTGTTCATTGTGAGTATGTAGAAATATAATTGATACTGGTTTGTCCTGTATTCTGTTAATTTGCTGAAATCACATATTCTAGAAGTTTTTCTGTAGATTCCTTGTGATTTTCTACATAGACAATCATGTCACTTACAAATGGGAACTGTTTATTTCTTACTTCACAATCTGTATGCCTTTAATCTCCTTTTTCATGCTTATTGCACTGTCTAGAACTTCCAACACTGTGAATAAGAGTGGTGAGAGTGGACATTCTTGCCTTGTTCCTGATTGTAGGTAGGAACTATTCGGTCATTCACAATCAAGTATGTTAGTCATAGGATTTTTGTAGATGATCTTTATCAAGTAAAGAAAGATATTATCTACTCCTGTATTTCTGAGATTAAAAAAAATAATGTGTGTTAAAGTAGGTTAAATACTTTTTCTTCATTAATTGATATGAACAAGTAAATTTTCCTCTTCAGCCTGTAATGTGATGGATTACATTAATTACTTATGAATATCCAACCAGCTTTGCATCCCTGGTATAATTCTCACGTGGTCATTGTATATAATTCTTTTTATATATTGGTAAATTCCACTTGCTAATATTTAGTTAAAGATTGCTGCATCATGAGGAATATTAGTCTACAGTTTTCTTTTCTTCCCATTGTCATTGTTTGGTTTTGGTATTGGGGTAATTCTAGCTTTATAAAATAAACTGGGAAATGCTTCCTCTGTTTCTGTTTTCTAGAAGAGATTGTTAATTCTTTTTAAATCTTTGGTAGAATGCTTCATTAAAACTATTTGTTCCTAAATATTTCCTTTTGTGAGTTTTTAAACTATGAATTCAGTTTCCTTAATAGGTATAGAAATTTTTGAATTAATTATTTTATATTTAGTGAGTTGTGGCACTTTATATTTTTTGAGAAAATGATCCATTTAAGTGTCAAATTTATGTGTATAGAATTGTTCATAGTATTATTTTATTATCCTTTTGATGTCTATAGAATCTTTGGTGATACCCCATTTCATTTCATAGCTTCTATCTTCTGTCTTATTTTTTTCCTTCTGAGTCTTACTAGTGGTTTGCCAATTTTATTAATCTTTCAGAGAGCCAGCTCTTTGCTTCATTGATTTTTTTTTGTTTTTGCTTTTGTTGTTCTGTTTTCATTTTCATTGTTCTGCTGGCATTTTATTTTGCTGTTCTTTTTCTAGATTCTTGAGGTGAGAGCTTAGATTATTGGTTTGAGACTTTTCCTCTTTTCCAATGTATGCAGTTAGTGTTTTAAATTTACTTCTCAAATGCAAATTAAAACCACAACAAAATGCCATCTCATGCCAGTCAGAATGGCAATTATTAAAAACTCAAGAAACAACAGATGCTGACAAGGTTGCGGAGAACCTTGTTTCTTTACATTGTTGATGGAATGTAAATTAGTTCAACCATTGTGGAAGACAGTGTGGCAACTCCTCAAAGATCTAGAACCAGAAATACCATTTGACCCAGCAATCCCATGACTGGGTAAATACCCAAAGGAATACAAATCATTCTATTATAAAGATACACGCATGTGTATGTTCATTGCAATACTATTCACAATAGCAAAGACATGGAATCAACCCAACTGCCCATCAATGACAGACTGGATAAAGAAAATGTACATATGCACCATGAAATACTATACAGCCACAAAAAGGAATGAGATCCTGTTGTTTGCACAGAGACATGAATGAAGCTGGAAGCCATATCCTCATCAAACTAATGCAGGAACAGAAAACCAAACACCACATGTTCTCACTTGTAAGTGGGAGCTGAACAATGAAAACACATGGACACAGGGAGGGGAAAAACACACACTGGGGTCTGTCTGGGGCAGGGGTGGGAGGAGGGAGAGCATCAGGAAATATAGCTAATGCATGCTTGGCTTAATACCTAGGTGATGGGTTGATATGTGCAGCAAACCACCATGGCACACATTTACCTATGTAACAAACCTGCACATCCTGCACATGTACCCTGGAACTTAAAATAAATTTACCTCTTATAACTACTATAACTGTATCCCACAAATTCTGATATGGCATATTTTCATTTTTGTTTAGTTGTGTTTATTGTGTGTATTTTTAAAAAATTTTCTTGAGACTTCCTCCTTGACCCATGTATTTCTAAGTGTGTTGTTTTGTCTCCAAATGTTTAGAGATTTTCCTGTTATCTTTCTGTTGTTGATTTCTGGTTTTGTTCCATTGTGGTAGGAGAACACTTTCTTTATGATTTTATTTAAAAAATTTGTTGGTGTTTGTTTTATTGTCTTAGATATGGTCTATCTTGGCACATATTCTATAGGAACTTAAAAAAAAAAAATGTGTATTCTAGCTGGGTGTGGTGGCCCATGCCTGTAATCCTAGCACTTTGGGAGGCTGAGGTGGGTGGACCACCTGAGGTCAAGAGTTTGAGACCAGCCTAACCAACATGGTGAAACCTCATCTCTATTAAAAAAAAAAAAAAAAAAAAAATTAGCCAGGCATAGTGGCGTGTGCTTGTAATCTCAGCTACTCAAGAGGCTGAGGCAGGAGAATTGCTCGAACCTGGGAGGCAGAGGTTGCAGTGAGCCGAGATTGTGCCGTTGCACTCCAGTGTGGGCATTAAGAGCAAAACTCCATCTCAAAATAAATAAATAAATAAATGTGTATTCTGCCATGGAATACTATGCAGCCATAAAAAGAATGAGATCATGTCTTCTGCAGGGACACAGATGGAGCTGGAGGCCGTTATCCTTAGCAAACCAATACAGGAACAGAAAACCAAATACTGCATGTTCTCACTTATAAGTGGGGGCTAAATGATGGAACACCATAGAGAGGGAAAACACATACTGGGGCCTATTGGAGGGTGGAGATTGGGAGGAGGCTGAGGATCAGAAAAAATAACTAATGAGTACTAGACTTAATTCCTGGATGATGAAGTAATCTGTACAACAAACCTCCATGACACTAGTTTACCTATGTAACAGACCTGCACATGTACCCCTGAACTTAAAATAAAAGGAAAAAGAAAAAAAAAAAGAGAAAATCTTGTGGAATCTACTAAAAGCAAGGAAAAAGAAAATAATGTATTTTTTGTTGTTGATTGGAGTGTTCTGTAAATGTTGATTAGATCTTATTGTTTGATGTTGTTTATTCTATGTTTTTTCTCAATTTTTGTCTATTTAATCAATTGTTGAGAGAAAACTATTGAAGTCTTCAACTATCATTGTTGATTTGCCTATTTTCTTTTCAGTTCTATCAGTTTTTGCTTTATGTAATTTGCAGCCCTGTTGTTTGGTGCATACATATTTAAGACTGCTGTGCCTTTTTGGTAGATTTACCCTTTTATCATTATATAGTGTCCCTAACCATTTCTAGTAATTTTCTTTGTTCTAAATTTATTTGATATTAATATAGCCACCCTTTATTTATTATTTT